CACTTAATAAATTCTCCAACAGTAGGCATGCTCTCTGTTCCCATCTAACGCATATATCCTGATGCCCACAGCTTGCTGAACAGTCCCCCTTGGGGGCCATGGTATAGCTTGTCCATCACAGCTCCCTTCAGGTGAGCCAATGCTCATGGAGAGACAGCTTTGTTTGTCTTCATATTAGTTTATGCCCAGGGTGCTTGCTGTTATAATTATACACTGTAATGAAATACCATGTAAATCAATGACATGTGAGTGTGATAAGAGAACTGTTCCAATAAAAACTAAAACTGAATCCTTTATTAAGACCCTCGAGTCTAAAAACGTTATCGAATTAAGAACGAGCTATCAACTATAAACAATTAAAATATCAAAACATAGAAGTCTGTACTCAGATGTCTTTTCCAGTGTCTTAAAGAAACTGAATCTACAAATCACAAATAATGTAATAATGTGTAATAAGTGTGATCTGTGCAAAAAAAAAAAAAAGGAAAGCAAAGGATGTTGGATACTCTACTCACTGGACAAATTCAAAGTAGAGGTCATGGTCACACGGGAAGGGAAGCATTGCTTTTTTGTTTTTTACATTTGGTGGTTAGCATTATTGTCTTTGATGAAATTTTCCAATTAACAAAGAAACTACTGGTGCTGCTAACTTTGGTTAAGAGGGATTCTACCATTGACTGTAGCTTCCTCTGGGATAGTCACAATGTATATGTGTATAGTTAAGCTTCTGATAACTTTTGTTGTAAAGAAAATCAATTAAATTTGTTTGATTTAGTGTTTCACAAACTTTTTGGACTTCACAAGTCTTTCCTGGTTCACATTTTGGGGAACCATAATTCCAAAGTAAAGTGTTCAATTCCCTACTAGTCTGTACTATTTGTGAAATAGCAGCAGTATTAAAACTATCCTACACTCTGTGGGGAAGACAAAGATGATTCAGACATAACCTTGACTTCTGGGAGTTTACTATCCAATGTGAGAAAAACACACATACATAAATAAGTATAATTCAGCAAGGCAGATATAAATATGGTAAGATAGATACAAAAATTTTAATTTTATGTGTGAAGAAACAAGCACAGAGAAGTTTAAATATCTTACTTAAAGTGTATCATCAAGTAGAAGCCTGATACAGCTGATTCTTATTTTAATATTCTTGTTAGTTTAACATAAAGTAGCATAGTATAAAATATTCCCATGGAGTCTGAGAACTATAAAGCAAACTTCCATAGTGTTCAGCTATGATTGTTATTTTTAACTGAATTGAATTATAAAAATAAATTTGTCACTGAGTTGGATTGACAATTTTGTTTCCTGCAATATGGGATAATACATATAAGAAGCAATGTGTACCATTTTTTAGTATGGTTCATTTTAAGTACTTTATTTTTTAGTATAATTCTTCAATAAACAATTCAAACTTTCCTTGCCTCCATTATATTAGTATACATTTTTTTTCCCCTGGAAAGATAGCCAGTCTGTATTGATTTCTTATGAAATATACAGAATGCTATCTAATCCTGAGACAAGTAAACCTTGTCTTCCATACTATAATATCAAAGAATTCCAAAGGTGTGTTTTTATGGAAAAAATATATTCTTTGTTAGAGACAGAATGAGTTAAAAAAATAAAAACACCTAAAGCTAAAACCTAAAAAAAAATGCCCTAAGCATTACTTGCAGTGGATAATGTTATCATTTCTTTTTAAAAACTTAATATAGACATTTAAAGGGCAAACAGATAATAATGCACATTTAAAATTAATATTTTCAGTTTATAAAATCAGAGGATGCAAAGGATCCTGTGTATTTTGAAATGGTACACTTGAATTTTTCATTATTTCATGACTTTCTCTTTTAACTCTTTTTTTTTTTTTATTTATCTGACAATGCTTCTTTATTTTCCAGATCTATCTGGTTTTAAAATATAATTCCAGGGCCTTGGGCATATCTCCTTGTTTCCTGGAAGTGAAGTCTGAGAAATGCCTAAATAAGTGAGCAGTTTTAGAAGTAGTAGGAATGGCATGTCAAAAGCATGGAGAGGTGACTCAGGTTTGTCCAGAGAACAGCTGAAAGTTGAATGGTCCTGATAGTCCATTTTGCCTAGAGCATGGGCTATGTGTTGGGTGGGCAAAATAATTTAGGGTTGGATTGTGAAGAGACTTATGTGATATGGATTGTTTCTTTAAGGGCTGATAAATTTTGAAGGAGGTTTGAAGTTAGAGAAATTTTTAGGTGAAATATGAAAGTATCATATTATTTTCCCTAACGTATCTGACAGACAAGCACAGTCTAACATAGTTACAGATTACGAATTTTTTTGATGATAAAACAGACATCTGAACTATCATTGCCTTAGGTATATCTACTGTGCCCGTTAAAAAATAAGAAGAAAACTGCGTATAGTTTCTCTTGCATTTTAATCGTTCACTTTAAAGGTGAAGCAGCTGCTTTAAGTGATATGTTTTTAAGACTATTTCCCTAAAGCTGGTTTCTGTCCCTTTAGACAATCCTCCTCCTCACAAAGATCTTCATTGCTTTCCTTTTAAGAGAGCTCAAGAGAGTATTGAGTGTTGAGTGTTGAGAAGATTGAAAAAAGGCAGGATGCAAACAAACTCTTAAGTAGGCTGAAAGCATAATGCAAGGTGGAGAAAGGCAAAGCAAGGGACAGAAGCCAGGAGGCTCCAGTGCAGTCCATGCAGAGAAGCTCATGAAATGGGTAGATTCAAAAGATGTTTTGGTAGAATTGGCAGATTTGGATGATTTTTAAGGGAGAGGAAGAAAAAAATGAGTCTAGTTTGTGATTTGGGCAAGAAACTGTACTGTGAGAGAGGAACACTAGACAAATCAGAGAGAAGGGAGATAAAGTGTCTTAGAAGTACTTGGGTTTCTGTTTCTAGACTAAGGAGTCTGAAGCATTTCAAAGGTAGATCTCCATACATATCAAAATTATGGGTTCAGTAAGGGCTACGATTCCTGCTTCCTGCCAAAGCTGCCCAACTTTGTGACATTTAGTGTAGATGCAAACAAATGAGTGACTGTTCACTCTTCCACTCTGATCTGGCCAGGCTAAAACAACCCCGGAGAATACTTGTGTCTTTTTGTAATGTCTTTGATCATTTATTGGTGCTTATAGCTTTGGTAGCCCAACACTACAAAGTTAATCTTTTAATATATGTAGAGCTACATAAGAGAAGATGTGCTACCCAGTAGGTGTATTCAAACCTATGTAATAACAAGCTGATATGTTTCGTTTTTATCAAAGGGAGAAATTGTGCATCTAATTCTGCCTTTATGATACAGGAAAATGGCTACTATTCCTTACCATCAGAAATATTTGCTTGAAGGAGGTTGAAGACATCTATATGTATACATAGTTGGTTGTGAGTGATATAAAAAAGTTAGTAAATATCCATTATATCTTCTACCAGAAATTTGATATTCATTGTAAATTGGACAATGTTATTATACATTATTATTGAAATGAAATGAAATGTAAAATGAATGAGTTACATTTTATAAGGTAGGACTGCTTTGTGGGCAATGTATTTGTGACAGTATTTTATTATGTGTTTCCTGATGTGAGGGAAATGTAAATTGTGATGTAGTATTCTAAAATGATTTAGATTTCGGCAGGATAAGTGAAATGGAATTTTTGATTGAGATGAAGACATTAAATTGTCTTGTTTAACATTTGATTTTGCTTTACATGTAGACTTATTATATAAAAGGGAATTTATTCCATAAACTAGAATTAGAAAATCATTTTAAATATTTAATGATTTAATTTAGTTTTATTAGTGTGATGCTCTTTGCTTTGCCAATTAAAAATTGACAAGAGTCCCCATCTGTTTTTTCCCTTTTTGGACAGTATTTGGCTAGATTTGTTTGTTTTGTGTTTTTACAAACAATGATAAATACTCGTTTTTAAAAACAAATCTTTTTCCACATGTACCGAAATTGCCAAGAAAAAAAAATAAATTGTGAAGCATTAAAATCAATAGGCTTTATTGATTGCTTTACTCTTTTGATTGGAAAACTGATATTTTAGGATTGTGTTTCTTGAGAACTTTAGTTAGCTTTATTCCAGTTCTCTGTCTGTAGTAATAGTCTTTGCCAGAGGACTGAAACTGTTTCCTGCTCTAGCACTGAGGGCAGGATAGATGCTACTCTCTATTGCACTGGATCTTGGGGCAGAGGAGGGAGTGAGGCAAAATGGTAGTCGAGTCAACAGAGGGGAAGAATGGAGAGTGAATTTCATGAATTACACCATTGTCAGCAGTGTGGTCACTGGAAGGAATTTGTGGGAAATGAAGGAGCCTAAGATTTATATTATACTTCAGGAGTATGGAGATACTACCAGTGTGTTGGTCATGGAAATATCACAGGAAGCAGAGGGAGATTTCAGCCATATTTGTTACCATGGTGATTCATATTCATTTTTCCTATATTTCTTGATATTAGAATCTATGCCCATGTAGCTCTGGATAATTTGAGAAATTTTACTGATAAGATGAGGGAAGAGGAAAAGAATATAGGTTGTAATATTTATCCAACAGGCAGCAGTTGACCTTGAGTAGCAAAAAAATACAATTCTCTAAACTTTCCTGATGAACTCTCTGCTCTATGTCCAATGACAAACAACAGTAAAAGTTACCTTCACGTATGCTTCCAAAAAAAATTATATATGTTTTAGAGACATATGTGGATAGTTGTTAACCACCCTCTTTAATTTTAGAAAAACGAGTATAATTAACCCAAATTCACACCTACTTTGGTCAAACTTTTCAAGATTTAGTACCATAGATTATAACTAGGTAGGAAGTTATGCTGAAAAAAAACACATTTTGTATTGTCTTTATACAGTTGAAAGTTTGAATGTTATTACTAAAGTTGAGAACTGAGCCTCCCATTATGGTAGTCACTAGCCACATGTGGTTATTTGAATTTAATTTTAAATTAATTTAAATTAAGTAAATAAACATTTCATTCCTTTTATAATCAGAAGTGGTTCATGGCTGCTGTGGAGGACATGCAGAAACTTTTCCATCATTGCAGAAAGTTCTGTTAGGGAGCACTGAATTAGAAATTATGTTGCCTAGAAAACAGTATTTTTACATAGGGTGCTAGTAGGAATAGTAACAAAGCCCAGCATGGCAATTCTGAGCACTGCTTTTTCATTAGCACTCTAATGTGGATGTTCCCGGCACCCAGGTAGCTTTTCTCCATATGCTGAAGGGTCCACGGTCCTTGACTCTTGAGATTCTCCCACATCCTAAACCTGTGAAGTCCTGCTTCCAGTTGCTGGAAGGGGAAAGAAAGGGCAGAAGAGTTGCACTGGCTTCTTAACAATATTGGTCTGAGGGTGATAAAGACATTCCCTCATGATCCACTGGTGAGAACTAGTCCCACAGCCTGTCCAGATGCAGGGCTTTCCATTAGCCACTGTATCCTGGAGAAACTGCCACAGTTTCCCAGCAGTTGAGAAACCCTGCAAAAGAAAACATAAATTTATATGGAAAGGTAACGAATGGTCAAGTCATAATTTTGTAAATTGTTAAATTTTAATTGCATTCTTTCATCTTTAGCATATATATCATTGTTTTCTGCCATAAGGAATTGGCTTTCACATTATAATTTGATAATCTCTAAGAACCAATGAATATGATGTTTATGTCCTTATTCACTGAAAGTCTTTATGTTTTACAAAACTAAGAACAACCCAATAAGGTGACCTCAGTTTTACTTACCTTTATGAAAAATTACAGATTCATAGTAAATTTAAATAAAATGTATTATATATTCTATGTAGGCTTTTATTTTATAGAAGGTATAGTGATACTCTTTGCTCTTAGACATTTGCTTTTGTGAATTTAAATATGATTTAATTTAGAAGAATAGAATTTACATGAAATTAGGACCACATGTATTATATGGAGTGAAGTTCACTTGCAAAGGAGTCTTCCCTATTGTTGTGTGCATACAGTTGTTGGCAGAACTCTCATGCAATTGTTTCTTATAAATGCACTCAAGTTAAAAGATAAATCCCCAGATGATCCATACCCAAAGCCTGCGTGTTATAATGCTTGTGAAGGTGGTAATTGGATATCCACTGCATATGCCTACATCACTAATGAATTATGAGATCCCTTATTGACCTTCACGCTTAGGGGCATAGAAAAGGTAGTGCAAGGTTACCACTATGTCTAGGTTCATTTTAATCATTTCTCACTGGGGTTAGGTGATATCTCATTGCGTTTTTGATTTGCACTTCTTTGATGATTAGAGACGTTGAGCATTTTTTATATGTTTGTTGGCCATTGGTCTATCTTATTTTGAAAAGCTTCTGTTCATGTCCTTTGCTCACTTTTTAATGGGGTTGTTTGATTTTTTTCTTGTCGATAAGCTTGAGTTCTTTGTAGATTCTGGTTATTAGCCCTTTATCGGATGCATAGCATGTGAATATTTTCTCCCATTCTGTAGGTTGTCTGTTTGCTCTGGTTGATTGTTTCCTTGACTGTGCAGAAGCTTTTCAAGTCCTTATTTAGTTTTGTTTTTGCTGTGATTGTCCTTGGGGTCTTCTTCATAAATTCTTTGCCTAGGCCAATATCTAGAAGAATTTTTCCAACATTTTCTTCTAGGATTCTTATGGTTTCATGTCTTAGATATAAGTCTGTGATCCACTGTGAATTAATTTTTGTGAGTAGTGAGAGATATGGATCCTGTTTCAGTCTTCTACATGTGGCTATCCAATTTCCCCAGCACCATTTATTGAGTAGGGATTCTTTTCCCTAGTGTATATTGCTGTCTACTTTGTCAAGGATCAGATGGCAATATGCGGATGGTTTTATATTTGGGTTCTCTGTTCTATTTTAATCATTTTCTACCCTCTTTCTCTATCTAATCTCTACAACTATCTATCTATCTATGTATCTATCTGTCTACTTATCAGCAGTCATCACTTTGCAGAAGTGTGACATTATAAAAATGACCTTTCAGACTGAAATTGCACAAAGCAATGTTAATTATCAATTGGAAAATTATGATTCTTCCATGATCTTTAAAATATTTTGTCAAAACATTAAAAATTCTCTTCCAGCCATAAATGTGTAGGGAGTTTTAAAAAGGCAGTAAAACAACTATTTATTTAGTATATTATTTTTAAAAACAGAAATATTGATAATTAAAATGTCTTATTTCTTTATAAAAACTTATCAAGAGTGGTTCGAACCATGCTTGCCTTCTTCTTTTCATATAGCTTATGATGTGGAGTGAATATCTTTCCTATGCCTGGCAAATGGCCACACTTTTTTAAAAAGTTTGGATCAGCTTCCAACATTTTATTCTTTGTGCTTACAATGTCATGAATTATTCCTGAAAGTTCTTTTAATGTGAAATTTTTTTGCTGACATCACTTCCTCTGGGATATCTTTACCCATTTCATCACAAACACTTTCCTCATTTATGTTGCTAAATTCTTTTTCACTAAGTTTTTATGGCGACATGTCTAGAGTCTCTGGAATGGTGGCAAGATCCACATTCCCATGGTCAGCTATTTAGGAAATGTTCTAATTTCACTTCCAGTGTCAACACTTTTCATTTCTTTGCTGTACTTTCATCGTTATTGGTCAGCTCTCTCATTTGATGATGTGTCTTTGTAAAGTGTCACGTGGACTCATCACTGGGAGACAAGAGAACAACACAACTCCATGCTTTTCTATCTGCACGTGCTGAGTAACTATGGAAGTGACCAATCACCAACACTCTGAAAGAAGTCACATTGGTCACCGAGCATGATGACTGGGTATGCTTTACACAGTGATCTGTGTAATGAAGAGCTAGCAGCAAAGTGTGACATTCAAGGATTCCTCCCAGTTAATGTATTGTAGTCATTGGAATTTGAACCGTATTGTTGGAGACTGGTGTTATTAACTAAACCATGGTAACTAAGATTTGTGTACATGGGAATCATGCAAACGAAGACTGCCTGCGTGTGTGTGTGTGTGTGTGTGTGTGTGTGTGTGTGTGTTCTCTTGATGGAATCTTTTTCTCTCTGGCCATCATTCCCTGCTATCATTACTACTGCTATATCCTATATAAAATGAACCCTCTGCAGCCCTTTATTTACTCTCCTGCCATGTGCCTATGAAAAACTGGAGCAAGTTTGAAGAAAATAAGCATCGGCATTGTGCAAAATTCATAAACCACTTACCTTTGGCAATTGGACATTACACTGATTTACAGAAGGCTGTAGAACACTGCAGTCTGTGAGGAGAGCCACGCCCAGGTGAACCTACAGATCTGTTGATGTAAGACCATTCTAACTTAAGAATAAAATGTTCATTACTTTAGATTAAAAAGATAACTTGAAACTAGTTAATTACTATGTTTGGAAAAGAGCAGTGCTGATAGTTACAAATAAATTAGATGTGACTCTGGTGTGCCTACAAAGCAAATTAAAACAATTTCAAACTACAATTCGGTAGTTAAGCTTTTCCCTTGGGTCATCTATAGTGGAATCTAGATCAGTGCTTTTTAAACTTTAAAATGCATTTGAATCTCTGAAGGTTTTTGTTAAAATAGATTCTGGGGTGAGGTGGGATCTTAGATTCTGCATTTTTAACTAGCTCCCAGGAGATGCAATGCTGCTGACCAAAGATGGAGTGTTAAGGATCTTGAGCAACCTAGCTTCTGCTGTACAAAGATGTAGGTAGCCAATGGCTTGGGCAAATAAAACTACCTTGTTTAATGCTACTTTATTTAACTATTTTCCTTTTCCAGGAGAGTGAAAAATACTTGTTAAAAACAACTTTGGACCTTCCCTATCTCTCAGGCTTCTACCTTGTGTCTCTCTTTCCTTTCAGTGCCCTCTAAATGACCCATCTTCCTTTGGCTCCTATGTCGTCACCGTCCCTTCCTCCACCAGCTCACCAAGTCTGGCTTTAATCTGCATCTACACTGTCTCACAAAGACTTTCTAAATGCACACAGGGACCTCTGTGTAGTCAACTTGTGTAGTGTGTTTGCGAGGTCTGATAATCCTGAGCTGTGCTCAAGAAACTCCCCCTCCTTTGGTTTCTGGAGCATCTGGTCTTCTCCTGTTTCTTCTCCAACTTTTTTGGTGCTGCCTGTTCCATTTCCTCTGTTTGCCCAGTCCCTTCAATGTTGATCTTCCTGGGATTCATTCTTCTTCCCTTCTAGCTGTCCAGATGCTTCCACCCAGCATTTCCTCCAGGGTTCCAGTTAACATGTATAGTTTAGTGACTCCCAACTTTTGATTTTTCTACTTCCCACACTATCATATAGTTCTACTCCCAGTCCAGCTGTGTGACCTTAGGCAAGGTTCTTAACTACTCTGATCCTCACTTTCTGCCTACAGTGTTCTTGTGGGGATTAAACAATTTGCCACAATGTAAAGTGCCTGGCAGAGTGTCTAGCACCTATTAAGAACATACAAAATTTAAACTATTATGCATTTATTGGAGTTTTAAGCAACAAAGGAAGGCTTTATCTTTTTTCACTTTGTTTGCCACATAATTTAGGCATATATACTTAAGTGTTTTGAGTAATGATCACGAAATTTCTCTGATATTCTTTCCCATTTCTCTGTATAACAGAGGAGCAAACTACAATAAATATATCAATTTGAATTTATCTAGGATGAGACCCACCTGAGTTTTGACCCTCATTACTCAGTAACAGTTGATTTAATGGATGCATTTAATGTATGAATATGACATATTTCCTTGGTCATGTTTTTTGGTTGTGGACATCTCTCTCCATTTAAAGCCATGCTACATATAACTATCAGGTTTATTTTATTTTTTTTTTTTAGTCAAGGTCTACATTACATGTGAAAAATTTATCTTTATAGATGGAATTTTTGGAATTATTATATTTAGAAAATCTTTTAAACTGATTTTTAGTTTACTATTCTATTCCTTTATTCTAATTCCAGTAAAAATGTGATATTATCCTAAGACTTAGCTTAGAGGATTTTAGCATGAGAAATGAGCTTAACAACCAATTTAGAAATAAATGATATATTTAGTACATTTAGTTCAATACACATTTAATAAATATTAATGAGGGGTCACTAACTGAAGTTAAGTCTTGCTGGCCTCAAATTTTTCATGAGGAGAAAAATATGTAAATAAATAATTGTGGTCAGGTATGTTAAGTTCTATGGCAACTGAAAAGTAGCAGGTAAAACTTGCCACCAAACCGAAGGAGAGAACAGCTAATCCATCTGGAGAAATCACAGGAATTTTACAAAAGGAAATAGAATTGGATCTGGAGGGCATCACCAGGACTGGAAGGGAAAGGGAATTTTAGTTTTGGAGCAAAGCATATGTAAAAACATTTAAACAAAAGTGTTAGATTTTATAGGTTTACTCCATAATCTTTGTGGGGCCTGGGCAAAGCACTTATAAAGGCCCTGCCTATGTCCAACACCGTTTCTCTTTCTAATTTTTCTTGTCACTACTATGAG